ATCTATCTATCTATCTATCTATCTATCTATCTATCTATCTATCTATCTATCTATCCTAATGAGGGGTCAAGTGAAATTTGTAAAGGTCATCAACTTTTGCAACACAAAAGACAGAAATGATATTGAAGATGCAATTTGTTTATGTTTTAAATTGAATACATAAAGTTCCTTTAAAGTCTTCTTGAGACCTCAATTGGAAACGTATTTGACCGACTACGCACATCCATGGTCTCTACGTTCGATGAGGCCACCAATGGGTTGTCGTGGTATTATTTGTGAAAAATGCCTTTTTTATTTTGATTATGAGGGCCTCCAGTAGACCTTTACCAAACTATATTGTTGAACATTCATCGTGCTTTTCTTGAAAAAGTACGTTTTGCCTAGGTGTCCATGCACCGGAAACACTCTATATTTAACATAAAGATTCCAGTCTAAAATAAACATATCGTCCGCTGCAATACATTATGCACCTTTTTGTTGCTTGTGTTTGTTCAAAACCTGTAGGTGATCAAGTGCCATGACTCCTAACAAAACACTGACCTGATACTTGGGCTTGAACTGGCATTTCCATGTCTGCAGAGCGATCCAAATCAAAATACTGAGGCCATTTGTCCACTTGAGAGCTGCTTTGGTTTCCCATTCTGTCCAAGAAAAGGAAAAATGTAATCAAAATTAAAGAGAAAAAAACCCTAAAATATTCAGAATCAATCTGCTAAAAGCACACTAAGTCACAAAAATGATTGAAAGGGGCATGCCAAATGTTTCATTGAAATAGAATATATACAGTAGAATCCGCTTTAAACCGAATACGGTTAATCGGACAGCAGTCTTAAACCGAAAGAGGACCAACATTGTGCTTTTGTAAAGAATTTCGAGGGGTATGTCAACTAAGTCATTACTAGCAGCCCTCACGTAACACAGACCATCATATTAATATATCATACTATGTTTAATAATACTTATGATATGTCAGGCCTATTTCATTTATTTATTTATTTATTACTTAATCATTTATTTACATGTACTTTATTGCATGCAAACAGAGATAGAATTATGAGAATCTGAGCTACCAAGCGCTATGCACCTATTGCAAAACTGGGCTGTCGCAAGCATGAGACTGACATCCTGCTTACATTAGAAAATTTTTTTAAATGCATCTGCGCCTTCCGAGTTTTACTTAAACTACGACACCAACCCCTTTCCCTTCCCACGGAATACGACAAAATAAAATACGACTGTACAGTGACATTAACGCCATGCATGCCAATCGGGGCTATATCGCTAACTACAGGGAATTTTCGTGATTTTGATGGGTGGTGGGAATTACCAGATAGTCACAAGTGTTATTGCGTGCCCCACTCGGAAATTGGAAATACATTTGTGTCACAGCACGTTGGAATCAGGCGCTTGCAATTTTTGAAACATATTATTACGAAGTAATATTATTTATTATGTACCACCTTAAAACTTGTTATTTAGCCTCGCTCTTGATTTTTAAAAAGTATGAGAGTAGATCTACTTGCAATCAAACGGGGTAGGGGGTCGGTTAGTACCAGAGATAAAATCAGCGAGAAAATGGAGGCCAAAGTTCAGTGACTTCCAAAGCTTGAGTATCATTGGAAAGTGAGAATTTATATATTTTTGTAAAAATTTGTGTCTTTGATAGATCTAATCAGTTCTCCTTAAATTCACACAGAAATGTGTGTGTGTGTGTGTGTGTGTGTGTGTGTGTGTGTGTGTGTGTGTGTGTGTGTGTGTGTGTGTGTGTGTGCAGATTGTTGTGTGTGTACACTTGAATGAAGTTTTGGGCGAGTTATCAATCACTGATGTCTTGAGTACTGTATACACCTGTGTTGAGTGTGTGTGTGGAGATCAGCCAAGCAATCAAAAAGTTTGTTATGCTTCTGAATCTATAGCTTGTAAACTTTCGTCTTTCGGCATAAAATATTTTTTTGTTATAGTAAGAGTTTTACGGCACTTGCAATTCAATAAGGTCATAGAAGTGCGGAAGATTAGAGGTGTTACAAGAGACTAACAAACACAAAAAAGAAGGAGGGGAGATAAAGACGATAGATATTTGATAGGATAGGAGAAGAAAACCACACAAGAGCACCCGCGCACCACCTACTAAAATATTATAGAATATTTATTAACCTATTCGCATGAAAGTTTGCGTGGTATTCCTACAGGCCAGCGACTAACCAACAATTTTTTATTCATCAACTTTGATGTAATTATTTTATAAAATGCATCTCTATTAGGGCCCTGTATTAAACACCACCCTTTGTGTGGATGCACACGATCGTTGAAATATTTAATGATATTTACTCACACACGCAATGCTCAGAGATGTGAATGATCATTTACCAGTTTCAATGCTCAACTTCTATTTTTTTAACTAATGGGTTAAAAAGTGGAAGGGGGAGGGGGGTTTTGGATCAAACTTATTTTGGCACGTAGGTTTGTGACGTCATTGGGGCGGGG